TCTTTGCCTTCCTGCTCCCATTAGAGCAGAATGACCATTTTAAAAGGTAAATTAGAATATGTCATGTAGATGCATACAAATCTCCAGTGGTTTTCCATCTTATTCAGGATTAAAGCCAGTACTTAAAATGGCCTGTGTGATCTGGTCCCTGCTACTTTTGTGGCCCCATCCCTTGCAGGTCTTTATCTCATTTACTTCATTCCACAGATAAAGGATTCTCTCCTCTCCCTCATGTTTTTTAAGTCTTTGTTCCTATGTCATTCTACAGAGGCATTCTTTTATTGCCTCAGGGCAGGTACCACCACTCTAGGCTGAAACACTTACTTCTTAGTTTTTTCACTAACTAGAACATAAATGCCGTGTAGGACAGAGGCTATTCCCAGCATCTAGAGCAGTGTGTGGCATAAGTATGTACCTCATACTTAATATTGATGAATGAAAAAAGAAATGATTGATTCTTTCAACCAGTGTTTGTCATGTGACCCAGTATTATTCTTAGAATATGTGATAGAACCTCTTGTAATTTCAGAGTTATCTTTTCTCATTATGACATGAGAAAAATAGATTCTTTCATATATAAATAATACATGTTTACACTTTCTGGTTTTCATGTTAGTTACTTAATTTACTTGACTTTTTTGTGCTTGTGCTTTGAATATTGTTTGCAGATTTTCTGAAAGGCTTTTGCTTACATTTTTGAAGTTCACATGACTTACCAGTTAATGTGTTGGTGATAAATACAGTTCATCTAAGATGTGTTAAAGTATGTTTCAGTTGAGGATACTGAGATGCTGTACTGTTGGTTTCTTCGAAATACATACTTGCATTTGTTGTTGCCTCAAGAAACCATTCTTAGATGTGAGGAGTCACAAAGGATCTTGCCTTGGTGGATTTCACAGTTAGATACAGACCAAAATAAATGTTTCGTTTCTAGAATATCTGCTTGTACTTATGGATCCTAATGTTTACAAGAACCTACTTTTCCTGTAAGTTGAACAATGAGATGTGACAAAAGTATTAAAGTATTTAAGAAGAGAGTGACATACATTTGTGATGAGCTGCATTACCCTTGGTTCCTAGCTCATGGGAATGGTGGTGGAAAGACAAGGAATTACTGCCCTACTGCCACTTTTTTCGTACTTCCATTTAAAATATTTTAGTGTAATCCCCAATGCAAATGTCTTTCTGTTAGGAATGATTCTTGGTAGTTACAGAATATAATACATAAATTATTTTCTGTCACAAGTTTCTTCTTAAATATGTATCCTCTGGGATAGTATTGACAAGATTATCCAAACATACAGAGTTGTGTTTTTGTGGTTGCAGTACTTTCATGGAGCTCCAGGTAGGGGAAGAAACACTCCTGTCTGTTCTCTGAAAGAATAATAAATTATCTAACATACAAAATTTAACATTTAAATCAAGTAAACACATAAAGCAGATGTTGAACATAATTTAGCATTATTTTCTTTGATTTAGAGTGATTGGTAACCAGGAGCCTTATGACAAGGTTAGAATTCTCAGATACTGAGAATCTAATGGTTTGGTATTCTTTGCCTCTTTGCATTCCATACTTATATCACAAGTATTGATGAACTTACTTTAAATGTTTTTCCGTCTTTTAAATAAACATGGGGACCTTTTAGGTTTTCATACTGGGCTTCAATGGAAAAGAAAGGTGAGGAGTAAAAATCTCATTCCTTGGGGGTCCCAGAGAAGCCAAGCATTCTCACAGGGCATTTAAGTGTTGACAGAAAATCTGTTTGCCCACAGTTTTAAGATCACTGAGGCACATTCTACTCAGAAATTGTTTTTCAACTTTTGAGTTCAGTCCAGGAATGGAAATATATTAGACTTTCTTATTTCCAAACATCTAGACTCTTGCTACAACATAAAATAATAACTTAGAAACTTACGGAATCTAAGGGAGAACCAGGTTAGCAGTACTGGAAAGGCAATACAAACCCTGTTCAAAGATTTAAAGGTAGAAACAAAGAATTGTAACCAAACCTTGCTTTTTTAACCAGGAAAAAAATCAGTATTTTTGTAGAAAAATTAGAAACTAAAAGTTGCTGTACTGCCTAGAAATTTAAAAAGTGAGAAACCCTGATTAAATACATTTTTTACTAGTAAAGCCAGATGCTTTTTAATAAAATTACCCATGCATAGTTTTTAAAAAGTTACTTATTTTTCATTAGAAACCAGCTTTTCTGGTCAAGTCTATCAGCCTTCTTGGTAGTATTTCTATTTTCTATGTCATGCTGAGAGAGGCTTTCCTCATTTAAATGTTGTAGGATTTAAGAAATACGTATTTAAATTTTTAGGACACAGTCCTGAATATCTATAATTATAGATACTTGGGAGGCTGAGGCAGTACAATTGCAAAATCAAGCCCAGCATGGGCAACTTAACAAGACCTTGTCTCAAAAAAAAGAAGAAAATCAATTAAAGTGGGTGTAGCTCCCCTGCTATAGTGCCCTTAGGTTTAACCCTCAGTACTGTACCAACAGCAGTTATACACAGTGGTACCTTGGTTCACAGACAAATTCTATGGCCAGATCATGGAGAAAAGTTTGTGAACTGAGGTACCACTGTATATCACTGGATCTATTGTTTTGTTTTGTTTTGCTTTTTTGTCCTTCTTGCTTCCGAATGTTCCCTTAATTATGATGGTCTCCCGGGCTCTGGGTTGTAAGGAAATGTAATTAGCTGTGTCCTTTCTAAGTTACTGTAATACTGCATGTCTTTATCACATTGGGCTTTTGCAACAAAATGCAGTGGACTGTGTTGCTTTAATAGCACAGCATTTATGTGTCACAATTTGGGAGCCTGGAAAGTCTCAAGATCCGAGAGCCAGTAGATTCATTTCCGGGTGGTAGTCATGTTCTTGGTTGTAGGTGGTCTCCTTTGTGTCTTCATGTGGTGGAAAGAAAGAGATACAGAGAAATTGTGTGTTCTACTGTCTTTTCTTTTGAGGGCACTCATCCCATTACTGGGGCCCTATGCTCGTGCTGTTATCTAAACATAATTACCTAAAGGCCCCACCTTCAGATACCATAACATTGGAGGTTAAGGCCTCAACATGTAAGCTGGTAGGAGACAAAAATATTTGGTCCATAATAGTTCTTTTATTCCATCATTTTGTCTTCCTCCCCTGAGAGGGATAATTTTGTTTTTAGTTTTAATTTTTTCCCATGTTTGTGTGAAAGAGAAAATTACCTCTTATGAATGAGTCTGACATCAAAAATTATAAATAAATTAAAAAGAAGTCTTCACTTTAACACTCCTAGGAGTAGTAATTAGTGTTATCTGGCAGAATACATAAGTTATTATATGTATATTTATGGGAATGTGTGGTTAAGATTTAACATTTAGCTTTTCAATCCACTTGAATTTTATTTTTTGTATTCACTATTAAGTTTGGATCTATATTGCAGGTACTTAACTCTTGATCCTTCAGCATTTCTTGACTAATTTCACTGTTTTCCCCAGTCAAATAAAATATTACTAACTTCATTTTAGAGCCTATTTTGTAAACATGCGTCTGTTTGTGTGCTTTCAATACTGTTTACGGTACTGTTAAATATAGTACTTTTGCCTTTTTAAATTAACTTTATTAACTTTACTTTGACATTTTTCTTGCCATTTACTAGGTCATTGTCATTTTTGAAATATTTCTTGGCTCTTACACCTACCCTGCTTTGAGTTTTAACTGGAATTATGTTGAATTTGTGTACTATTATGGGGAGAATTGACATGTTTTTAAGGGTTTTTTTTTTTTTGCCAATTAGGCTTACATGTTGTCTTTTAAAATTTTATGCATGAGTATTTTATAAGCAATGTTTTAGAAAGATCGATTAAACCTTTCTGCAAGAAATTTGCCTTTTCAGCATCCAGTGAGAAAGTTAAGTGAGCTACCAATGTTATGAATAGTCTGAAAATACCCTTACACTGTTAGAATAATTCTTTTTTTTTTTTTTTTTTTTTTTTTTTTTTTTTTTTTTTTTGTTTTTCCTCCGGTACCGGGAACCGAACTCACGACCTTGCACTTGCCAGGCAGGCGCTTTTGCCGCTGAGCTAAATCCCCAGCCCCCTGTTAGAATAATTCTTGAGGTGATATATTTTTCTTAACTGTAAGCCTGGGTATTACTTCATAATATCATTAACTTTTAAAAGTAATATTCATAAGATTGCTTTTTCATGAATTTACTTATTTTCTGGTTTAGTGCCAGGTTTATGACTTGATAAAATTCATTAAAATACTATCACATTTTATATGTCTAGGATTAATTAGTAATTACACTTAAAAATATGAAAAAGCATGATGGTAAATTTTTGAAGCTTGGTAATATTGTGGAACAGTGGTTAAAAGGACCAAAACTGAGCATAAGCTCTGTATTTGTTTCTGTAATATCTTCATTTATATCTTAGGTTATATAGTTTGCACTCTTATTTATTTTTCCCTTCCAAAGAAGTACATGACAATAATAATTGTTCAAAGATTTTGTTTAGAACTCTTTTACAGTGTTTCTTGATTATCCTGTTATAAATCTGCATTTTCATATTCATTAATAAATACTAATTAGGCATAAAATTTAAGTTTTAAAGCTACTTACTTTGGATTATTTCTTACATGCACACTTATTTCTTCTGTCATGTCACACGTGTGAGTGGTGAGCTCTCCAGTACTTACTTGTGTTCTTACATACTTGTCAGTGAACAGCATCTTAACAGACTGTAGTATTCATGTATATTAGTCTCCCTCAAAATGTTTTGCTCCATTGCTTTGAGAAAGGAAGTAAAGATTATGTGGAAAAAGTTTCATGTCATTTGATTTTAGCCTTTGCTTTTCCATGTTTTTCCTTGAAATGAAAAAAAAAATTCACATGTATATAAACATTTCATCAGTGTCTTGAAAGATCTTTTCTGTAAAGATTTTTAACATACAGGAATCCACCAAAATAATACTTTGGTATTGCATTTGATTTGAAACAACTTACATGAGTAAGTTATTTATTGCTATATAAAAAGTACCCTGAAAGTAACTTTGAAGCAGCATCCATCTGTTATCTCTTTCTGTGGCTTAAGAATCTAGACATGGCTCTGCTGGACCTTCTGGTTTAGTCTCATTGAGCAGCTGTCAAAGTGTCAGCTAGGTCTGGGGTCTCATGTGAAAGCTTGAATGAGGAAGAATTTTTTGGGATATCTCACCAGTTTAGAGCACACAAAGCTCTTCTCAATCCTATTTTGTTATCCAGTCATAAAAGTGTTTGTATTTTTTTTTTTTTGGCTTTTTAGAAAACTTCTTTATTATTACATATTTGTCACACATATTGATTGCATTCATCATAGGGAATTTGTACTTTTACATAAATATTTCCTTTTTTCCCCTATTCCCTTTGCCTACATTCAATTCCTTCTCCCCTCCCCATTTACAAAATATTTGTTTCCTTTTTTTTTTTTTAATTTTTCCTTTCCCATCCTTCTTTTCCCCTACCCTTCCTTGTTCTCCTTCCCCTTGGAACATTTTCTTCCTATTTTCCAATGTCTATCATCCATTTTGGTCCTTTTTTATGCTTTCGTTTCACACACAAGAGAAACAATGTGATGTTTAAACAAGCGTCTGATTTAGTTCACTTAAAAGCATGTTCTCAAGGTACATCTGTTTACCTAAAAATGTCTCAAGTTTGTCCTTGAGACAGAGGAGTAGACCATTGTCTACTCCATAAAACTGCATTTTTCTTTATCCATTCACTCACTGAAGAACATCTAGGCTGTTTTTAAGATTTAGGTATACAAATTGTGCTGCTATAAATGTGGATGTGCAAACATTGCTGTGATATGAATGCTTTTAACTTTTTCAGGAAGATACCAAGAAGGGAAATAGCTAGGTCAGATGGAACCTCTAGGAATATTCATGCTGATTTCCACAGTGATTCTACCAAATTACACTCCCAACAACAGTGGAAAAGGATTCCTTTTCCTCCACAGCCTCACCAGCATTTATTATTGGTTGATTTTTTTGATGATAGCTATTCTTTCTGAAGTGAGATAGATTCTCAGTGTTTTAATTTGCATCTCTTGAATAACCAATGATGAACATTTTTTCATATATCTGCTGTTTATACTTCTTCATCTGAGAAGTGTCTGTTCATTTTAGATGCCCAGATTTTATTAGGCCTTTAAATTTGTGTGTGGGGGGGTCTGATTTTTTTTTAGTTCTTTCTCCTTTCTAGTTATTAGACTTTTATGTGAGGAATAGTTGGTAAAAATTTTTTTCCCATTTTGTGGTTTGTCTCTTTACTCTGTTGGTAATTTCTTTTGCTGTGCAAGAGCTTTTTAATATGATGAGATCCTAATTGTTGATTCTTTGTAATATTCCCTGTGCAATCAGGCTTTTGTTCATACAGTGTTTGCCTACACCTGTGTCATCAAGAGTTTTACCTGTTTTATCTTCTAGCAGATTGTTTCCCTTTTTAATATTTGTATCTTTAATCCATTCTGATTTTAGCTTAGTGCATGGTGAGAGATAAGGGTCTAGGTTTAATTTTTGGCATGTTTAAAGCCAGTTTTCCCAGCACCATTTATTAAAGAGACTTTATTCCAGTGAAAGTGTTTAGTTCTGTGAAAGATAAGGTGGCTGAGTACATTTGGAGTGCTATTGATTCTCAGGTCTCTTTCTCTCTCTCTGTTTTTTTCTTTTTTTCTTTTTTTTTCTTTTTTTGGCTAGCACTAAGATGTTTTTATCACAGTAGCTTTGTAATATTACTTAAGATTAGCAATTGTGATGTCCCCTGACTTGCCTTTGTTACCCAGAATTTCCCTTGTTATTCTGTGTCTCTTCTGGTTCCATATGAATTATAGGGATGTTTTCTCTAGGTCTGTGAAGTATGCTGTTGGTATTTTGACTGAGATTGCATTAAATCTGTATAATAGATTTGGAACTATGGCCATTTTAACTATGTTGGTTCTGCCTATCCAAGAACACATGATATGTTTCCTTTTTTTTTTAATATCCTCTTCAATCTCCTTTTTCGGAGTACTTGAGTTTTCAGCATACAGGTTTTTCACTTTGTTAGATTGAGTGTTCATAGTTTGTATGTGTGTGTGTACTTACAGAGATGAGAAAGGGTGGGACAGAGAACATACGTTAGTGTAACCTTTCCATTTTGATAATTATGTGTTTTTCTTTTATAGGTGCCTTAGCTGGACCAATTATTGTGGAGCCACATATCACAGCAGTATTGGGGAAGAATGTTTCACTCAAGTGTTTAATTGAAGTGAATGAAACCATAACACAAATTTCATGGGAGAAGATACATGGCAAAAATACACAGACTGTTGCAGTTCATCATCCTCAGTATGGATTCTCTGTTCAAGGAGAATATCAGGGAAGAGTCTCATTTAAAAATTATTCACTTAATGATGCAACAATTACTCTGCATAATATAGGATTTTCTGATTCTGGAAAATACATTTGCAAAGCTGTTACATTCCCACTTGGAAATGCCCAGTCCTCTACAACTGTGACTGTGCTAGGTAAGTGTGGTTGGATTGTGTGTTTTGGTGACAGTGGTGAAAATTCTAATAAAATTATTTTTAACAATTTAAAATGTTTGAAATTTTTCGTTAAAATGAATTTAAATGTGATTTCTCAAGTTCTGTCTTAAAATGTTTGATTTTAGGCTCTCTTAATTTCAACAAAATCTTAACTGTATCTACTTATATCCTATAGTGCTATGTAGTTTTAGCTGTTACTTTTTATAGTATTTCATTTATAATAGTAAATTATTATAAATGCTGAGTTTCTGTAACATTCATTTTAATTAATTTGCTAATGGTAATTAATGGTAACTAAATTACTATGATCAGTTAAGCCTTCCAGTTTTTTCAGTGACTGGCTGTGACTTTTTTGAACCCTTGACACTTTGTGTTTCAGCTTTCACATCAGATTTTATTCTTGCTATTGTAGATTTGTGTAACTGTTTGAGTCTGTGCTTCAGGAAGACTGGTCTGATGTTTTTGATAGACTATAATGATGAAATCTGTAAATCATTATTCTTCAACTATGAGGCCACAAAGGCTTTGAATTAATTTTCTCAGTTCTGCCAATTGAGTGAAGAAGGGCAGAATTAAAAAAATAATTAGGATTTTGTAACTGGTATATGTCAGAGACAAGGGCAGCTTGAACAGTAGCAGGTTGGAAACTTGGTGACTGAGTAAACTGTTAGTTAAGTGGCCTTCTCTAGATGAAACACAGGTACTGGGAGGCTTAGACAGTGAGTGCCAGCTCAGTGGGTTAAGAGTACAGAGGGGAAAATAGCAGGCATGTACTTAGAAGCTGAGGAGCTAAGTCGTGTAGCAAAATTGGAGGAAGTTGGGAATCATATAGGCAATGTTTATTAGATAAAAATTTTAAAGTAAATATAAAACTAACCAAACAGGTGTAGGGCCATGTATTAGAGTATAGGTTGGAAGAAGTATAGATGAAGAGTTTGGGAGAGCTACTAGAAGAGCTCAGGCAGAGTAAGAATCAAGAGAAGGTGATTGTCAGGAGAAGCCTATTTTTTTCGGCCTGTAGAAATGACTTACCCTTTTCAGTTCTACGAGTGGCTCATAGCCAATATCATTCCAAATTTATTTTTTAAAACAGATTCTTAGAAAAGAGGACTTTGTTCTTTTTAACTGAGTAGAAAGGCTGTGCTGAAATAGCACATTCTGCAAAATTAACAGAATAGTTGTAAAGAAAATACTGTGTCATAGATGATGATGTTCGGTGACATTAAAGTTTCAGTGGAGTGTTTGACACAGAAACCAAATTAAGAAAATTGGAGATAACAAAAAATTTTAAGAAAATTCAACAAATGCCCCATAATAGAAGAGTTGCTGCATTAATTATAGTATTCCTCTTAATGGAATATTACATAGTCATTAAGAGAAGAAAACTATAGTTGAGAAGTGCTGCTGCATGAAAAGAAATGAACCACACAATTAGAAATAGAAATAAACAGGACTCTAATCTCTGAAAAAGGTGGACAAAGGAGGTGAGCTTTTACAGTTGCTCCAGCTTCTTCCTTTGATGGCTTGAAAGCCATAGATCAGGTACTAGGGGGTCAGGGAAGAAGGAACAATGAGAGGAGAGAGACAATTCTCAGTAGCATCTTAGGAGGTATATTAGTCAGGGTTTTACTGGAGAAACAGATATAATACAAGATGTACAAATGTATGAGAAATTACAAGATTGGCTTCTGACAGTCAGCCAGAGAGCTGTATGAGGAAGCATGCAGAGGGTGTCTGCACACTGAAGACCAAAGGAATCAGTCCAGGGTCTGGAGTTTACTGCAGAGTTCCATGGAAGTCCGTACCAGGAGGCCAATGAGTCTGCAGTGGAAGGCTGAAGGATCCAAGGCGGAAGATGAAGAGTCTGCACAAGAAGCCAGGAGACAAAGGCCAAGCTGAAGGTGAAGACTGGAGCTCCTCCAAAAGGAATGGAAGTTCCTCTGTCCTTCTTCATTTCCCTTTTATATTATCTAGGTGATGATCCACCCTAGGGTGGCTCCTCTACACCCCAGGGTGGGTCTTCTACACCCCAGGGTATAGAATTGCTGAGCCAGTTGCTGAGCCAAGTTTAGTTATGCTTCTAAACTTCTCAGGTTGACATAATCAATCAGCCACTACAGTCCACCCCTTGTCAACTTGGCAACCAGACACATTTCTTTAAACCAATCCCCAGATACAAAGACATGTATATAATTGTGCCTAACATGTTATATCTATCCATTGTACAAACAGAAATGTAGTTATCCTCTTACCCAAATAGAATGTAAATTTGCTTTGATGTTTACATTTATGATTTCATAATTTGAACATTATAACACAGGTTTAATAATCCTGAAGAGCCAGAATTAAGTTTATCAACCTTATATTACATTAACACAGTACAGAGGAGAAATGGTACCATTATAATCCTCTTTTCTGTAGCTGGTCACGGGATCATAGTTGGTATTTAGAACTACCTTCTTCCACCAGCCATTCTGTATTCCCTTGTCCTTCAGCAAGCACCTCAGCAGGTCTTGGTTATTTTCCTGGTGGAGTGACCCATACCTTCATTCCTGAAGGCTCTGGACCATTTGTCATTGTGCCTGTATTAGGTTGTTGTAGTTTTCCATTGACTTTAATAATAGGGCAAGGTAATATTAAGAGGCACCCTAAGGGATCTCCCTGCACTCTATGTGTATTCTTCTTTTCCTCCATTGTGGAGTAGCAGTCCAATTTACCCCTGATAGTCTGGGTCAGTCACCCCTGACAACACTGTGATTTTGTTTTTAAGTTGTTTCCTCAGAGGCATGAGGAGACCAAAATGACCAGGGGGAATCTTAGCTTCCAGTTCAGTGGTATCATTGTTGTGCTTCCTAGGGTAAGCCTTCCCCCCTCTGGAACTAAGACTTCTAAGCCAGCAGAACCTAAGGTCAAGGGGACAGGAAGCCGAAATTTTCTAATGGATCACTAGGGGTAATGGTGAGTGGTACCATTCGTACTTCCACCCCTTGATTCCTGGACCCATGAATCCTGGCAGTGGGGGACACAGTGCCATATAGTGGATGCTGATTCAAGGCATATATAGCCTTTTGAAGTACCTTACCCCAGCCCTGCAAGCTATTGCCACCTAGCTGGCACTGTAATTGTGTCTTCAAAAGACCATTCCAACTTTCTATCAATCCAGCTGCTTCTGGATGGTGAGGAACATGGTAAGACCAGTGAATTCCAAGAGCATGGGCCCATTTCCTCACTTCTTTGGCTGTAAAGTGTGTTCCTTGGTCAGAGGCAGTGCTATGTAGAATCCCATGACGGTAGATAAGGCATTCTGTGAGTCCGTGGATGGTAGTTTTGGCAGAAGCATTACGTGCAGCAATGGCAAATCCATATCCAGAATATGTGTCTATACCAGTGAGGACAAAGCGTAGTCCCTTCCATGATGGAAGTCGTCCAGTGTAATCAACCTGCCACTGGTTGCAGGTTGATCACCACAGGGAATGGTGCCATACTGGGGACTCAGTGTTGGTCTCTGCTGCTGGCATATTGGGCATTCAGCAGTGGCTGTAGCCAGGTCAGCCTTGGTGAGTGGGAGTCCATGTTGCTGAGCCCATGCGTAACCTCCATCCCTGCCACCATGGCCACTCTGTTCATGAGCCCACTGGGCAGTGACAGGGGTGGCTGAAGAAGGAGGTTGGCCACTAGCTACAGACCAGGTCATCTTATCCACTTGATTATTAAAGTCCTCTTCTGCTGATGTCACTTTTGGTGAGCATTTACATGGGAAACAAATATTTTTACATCCTTTGCCCACATGGAGAGGCCTGCCCATCTACCTCTTCCCCAGATATCTTTGTCACCGATTTTTCAATTATGTTCTTTCCAAGTTCCTGACCAGCCAGCCAGACCATTGGCTGCAACCCATGAGTCAGTATACAGTCACACATCTGGCCACTTCGTCTTCCAGGCAAAGTGTATTGCCAAGTGCACTGCTTGAAGTTCTTCCCACTGTGAAGATTTCCCTTCACCACTGTCCTTCAGGGATGTCCCAGAGAGGAGCTGTAATGCTGCAGCTGTCCACTTGCAGGTGGCGCCTGCATAGCATGCAGAGCCATCCGTAAACCAGGCCCTAGCCTTCTCTTCCTCTGATAGCTGATCATATGGTACACCCCACAAGGCCATAGGTGCATGCTGGGAAACAGAAGGCAGTACAGTAGGCGTAGCAGCCATAGGTATCTGGGCACCTTCCTCATGTAGTTTACTTGTACCCTCTGGACCTTCCCTGGCTCGATCATGAATATACCACTTCCATTTAATGATAGACTGTTGTTGTGCATGTCCAACCTTATGACTTGGTGGATCAGATAATACCCAGACCATGATAGGCAACTCAGGTCACATGGTGATCTGGTGTCCCATCGTCAAGTGTTCAGTTTCCACTGAGGCCCAGTAACAGGCCAAGCACTGTTTTTCAAAGGGAGAGTAGTTGTCTGCAGATGATGGCAGAGCTTTGCTCCAAAATCCTAAAGGCCTCAGCTGCAATTCACCTATGGGGGCCTGCCAGAGACTCCAAACAGCGTCTCTCTCTACCACTGACACTTCAAGCAGCATGGAGTCTGCTGGATCATATGGCCCTAGGGGCAGAGCAGCCTGAACAGCAGCCTGGACCTGTTGCAGAGCCTTTTCCTGTTCTGGGCCCCACTCAAAATTAGCAGCGTTCTGAGTCACTCGGTAAATGGGCCAGAGTAAAACACCTAAGTGAGGAATGCGTTGCCTCCAAAATCCAAATAGGCCCAGTAGGCATTGTGCCTCGTTTTTGGTCCCAGATGCAACAACTTGTCTTTTAGAAGGAATATCTCTACATGCTCCACACCACTAGACTCCTAGGAACTTCACTGAAGTAGAAGGACCTTGAATTTTTGTTGGATTTATTTCCCATCCTCTGGCTCTCAAATGCCTTACTAACAAATCCAGAGTGGTTGCTACCTTCTGCTCACTAGGCCCAATCAGCATAACATCATCCATATAATGGACCAGTGTGATAACATTGTGGGAGAGAAAAGCGATCAAGATCCCTGCAAACTAAGTTGTGACACAGGGCTGGCAAGTTAATATACCCCTGAGGTAACACAGTGAAGGTGTATTGCTGGCCGTGCCAGCTGAAGGCAAATTGTTTCTGATGATCCTTATGGATAGGTATGGAGAAGAAGGCATTTGCCGAGTCAGTAGCTGCATACCAACTACCAGGAGATGTATTAATCTGCTCAAGCAAGGAAACCACATCTGGTACCGCCGCAGCAATTGGAGTCACCACTTGATTTAGTTTACGGTAATCCACTGTCATTCTCCAAGACCCATCTGTCTTCTGTACGGGCCAAATGGGAGAATTAAATAGAGATGTGGTGGGGACCACCACCCCTGCATCCTTCAAGTCCTTGAAAGTGGCACTAATCTCTGGAATCCCTCCAGGAATGCAGTACTGCTTTTGGTTTACTATTTTACCAGGCAGAGGCAACTCTAATGGTTTCCATTTGGCCTTCCCAGCCATAATAGCCCTCACTCTACAGGTTAGGGAACCAGTGTGAGGATTCTGCCAAGTACTAAGCACATCTATCCCAATTATACATTCTGGAACAGGGGAAATGACTACAGGATGGATCCGAGGACCTATTGGACTGACTGTGAGTCAGACTTTCGCTAAAACTCCATTGATCACCTGACCTCCATAGGACCCTACTCTTACTGGAGGGCCACAATGACATTTTGGATCCCCTGGAATCAGTGTTAGTTCAGAACTAGTGTCTACTAGTCCCCGAAATGTCTGATCATTCCCTTTTCCCCAGTGTACAGTTACTCAAGCAAAGGGCCTTAGGTCCCTTTGGGGAAGGATGGGAGAAAGTCTTAACTGTATAAATTTTGGCGGTATCAGGATCCTTCCCCAAGGGGACCTGGCCTCCCCATCATTCAAGGGGAGTCTGTAAACTGACTCAAATCCAGGAACTGGTTGAGGGGCCATGGTTGCCTGTTACCACGATTTGAAGTAGGTTTCTGTTCTTTTGCCTTTAAATTTTTTCAACTGTATAAATCTAGTACAAATCTTGTAGGCTTTCTATGTATTTCACGTCTGGGAACACCGTGGCTAATCAGCTGGTGCCGTAGGTCTGCACGTGTCAGATTATTCTTGTCATTGTTCCGCTTCTGCTGTCCATTATAGTAAGTGCGTGGACCCTGCCTTTGACGAGTAAGTGCTGCCACTTGACCTCTGCTACTCCAGGGTCCAGTCAAGCCCACTGACCTTAAATTTCCTAATTGAGTAACCGCGGCACCCCTATAAGGTTTGGCATACAGAGAACAGCAATGACAGAGCTCTTCAGGAATGCTGGTGCTCCCCGCACAAATCTGTTTCTCAAAGTGTTAGTGAAGGGTTTACTTTTTGGATCGTCCCAACGTGGAGGATTAGGTTTGACACGACAGAGCTACTCTACCATTCCTATTTCCCTAAGCCTGTGAATCCCTTCATCAGTAGTAAACCATGGAACATCAGGCATCTCTAGCTCATTCCCAGTGGGCCATCTTTTAAGCCATACTTCTGCGAACCAGCCAATAGACTATTAATACCTTTCTTTACTCTGCAAGCTGCAGCGTTACATTCAGAATCCCTACTTAATGGGCCCATATCAACAAACTCTCCCTCATCCAGAGGCATGTTATTCCCACCATTATCCCATACTCTTAAAATCCATTCCTATACTTACTTGTTAGGCTTCTGCTTATAAGTGTTAGAAAACTCAAAAAGTTCTTTGGGAGAATAGTGGACCTCCTCATGGGTCACACTATGTATATCACCCTTAGGAGCCTTATGAGATTAGAGCCTAGTTAAAAAAAAAAAAAGAGAGAGATATTTGAGCCTGGTTATGGACCTAGAGGAAAAAATGGTGATGAGGGTGGGTCTTGAGGAGTGTCAACATTATCCTGCTTGGTTGACACAGGATTAGCTTCCCCCGGCGTACCAGGAGACACTAACACCGCAGGAGGTAGAGGCAGCAATGCCTCTGCCACAGTGGGTGGGGAGCTCTCTTCTACTGGCAAAATAATGTCCTCAGGATCTAGGAACTCAACATCCTTAACGTCCTCAGGATCCTCCCACACATCTCTATCCTGGTGTATGGGAATCCCATAAACCCTCACCTTTGCCTCAGATACCCTTCGAGGCTGAGCGTTAAATTTACATTGCAGTTCAGCCAGTCGAACTATGAGGGACTGCATCTGGGTCTCTGCAGTCTCAGTTTTGTGGCTAAAAGGAGATTTTCCTTCAAGACACACTTAGAAACTTTCAAATTTCTGATCTGTGACTGGAGATGGGAATTCGAATCTTTGCGCTTCTTATTTTCCTTTATAAGTTTATCTAGCGAGGCCAAGACCAACCCACCAGCATCATTATATTTTCCTACTCTGCGAAAGAAATTCAGAATTTTCATTTATGGAATCACTAAATTCCTGACATCTCACAAGTGGTGAATCAGGATAATCAAATGGATCTACACAGCATATTTGTTTAAACAGTTCACACCAAGGACTATCAGCGTTCCCCACAGAAGTGGGGGGGAAAGACCATGGTGTCTTCAGGTCTCATCAAATTGCGGAGCCAACTCCAGGAAGCCCTAAAGACATTAAGGAGTGCCATCATTATAATCCGTTTCTCTAGAGCCACTCCCAGTACCAAATTTTGTATCAGTCAGGATTTTACTGGAGAAACAGATATAACACAAGATGTACAAATGTATAAGAAATTACAAGATTGGTTTCTGACAATCAGCCAGAGAGTTGTGTGAGGAAGCATGCAGAGGGTCTGCACTGAAGACCAAAGGAATCAGTCCAGGAACTGGAGTTCACTGCAGAGTTCTGTGCAAGTCCTTACCAGGAGGCCAATGAGTCTGCGACGGAAGACTGAAGGATCCAAGGTGGAAGCCGAAGAGTCTGCACTAGAAGCCAGGAGACAAAGGCCAAGCTGAAGGTGAAGACTGGAGCTCCTCCAAAAGGAATGGAAGTTCCTCTGTCCTTCTCCATTTCCCTTTTATATTATCTAGGTGATGATCCACCCTAGGGTGGCTCCTCTACACCCTAGGGTATAGAATTGCTGAGCCAATTGCTGAGCCAATTGCTGAGCCAATTGCTGAGCCAAATTTAGTTATGCTCTAAACTTCTCAAGTTGACATAATCAACCACTATAGGGGGCCAGAGAAAACAGCAGCAAGCAGCTAGACAGGGAAGGGTGACTCTAAGATTGACTAAGATATTGACATACATGATAAAACTAATTTTAGAAAATCTATAAAACAAGAACATAGATGGATTTTTCTTAACAATTTAAAATTTACTAAAATAAATGGTTAAGTTCTTTAATGGAAAGGAAGGCTGCTCTTAATGATGGCATAAATTATTTGGACCAACATTCGCACTGAAGGAGAAATAGGAATACCTTTGAAAACTTCAAGGAAAGAACATGAGGAATATATGTAGATCAAAATCTAGTGGGTGAAAACCGAGCTTAACTTGGTTATGATAGCTACACCAACTTTATATTTGACAAGTCAGAAGAAACATGAGATGCAGAGCTAAAAGCGAAAATTTTGAGATCGTTGACAAGTGAGCGAAATGTCTAAAGTTCTGCTCCACGTGAAATGTTTCATCACCCTTCTCGTTCACTTGATACCCTAAAGACCTCAGTTCTCAGAGTAGTAAAAGAAATGAGAAGTAATGGCATCTTTATCGACTCTAGATCTCGTTACAACACTCGAGCAAACTGCACTTGAGAATGTCTTGGCCTGGTTTTCAGGAGCTTGGCCTAAGAAAACATGATTTTCTGGAGGAAGGTACTTATTTTCTGATCTCAGAATATTTCTACAGAAATTATTTAACGAAGCCATAAATTCTGGTTGAATAAGGAGACATATAAATAAAGAAGACTCCACAGGTAGCAGCCAAGTCGATTTATAAATTTTATTTAGAGAACAGGAAATAAAATGTTACACAGTAGATCTCAAAAGAGGGGATAGTATTTCTTAGTACATAAAGTAGTTAACTGTCAAGTAAATAAACTGATACATTTTAATACATTTTAGTTAAAAGCTACTAATTGAAAGACCAGAAAGGTAAAAAGACAAGGTTTGAACTGGTAGGAGACGTTTACACCACATATCAGCAAAAAAAGGACTATCTTCTCAAAATTATGGGGAATTTCTATGCCTCAATAAGGAAAAGAGCAGAGAGTTAGCTTTAATAGGCATTTTTAAGCAAGAGAAACTCCAAATGCCTCCAAAACATGAAAAATTTCTAATCTCATAATGTAAAAATTAAAATTAAATTGTATGTTGCCACATTACCATAAAATTGGGAAACATTGAGAGAAATGTGACAGGATTAAGTGTGGTGAATGAATGCACCAACAAGTGCTCTAAGTTTGGAGTAAATTAGTACTTTGGAAAGCTTTTTGGTATTTCCTGGTAATACTGAAAATAAGTATAGTAGTAGGAATTCTATTACATAGGACTACCTAGAGAAGCTTACACACAAATATACTAAGATACAAGAATGCAAATGTTTTACAGTTATTTAAACCGAAGAGGAAACAGCTGCAGTGTCCATCATAAATAAACTGTACAGTAGTTAAAGGTAATAATCTTTTCAATTACAGATCTAAATGACCTGAAACTACAAAGGCAAATGAATTCTAAGAGTAATAAACTAAATGATCCAATATGAGTTAATTTCTATAACATAAAGTTGAATCAATAACAAGTTGCACAAAACATAAATTATCTAATACCAATCTCAGAAAGTTCCAAAACAGGTGAAATGCAACTGCCTTGCTTAGATTTACATTTATTCATTGTAGAACTACAGTGAAAATAAGTAAAAACTTATTTCCAAAGTTAGTACAGGTCAGGTGAGATCAAAGAGAGAAACATGCAGGACTTAAGAGTGGCTAATGCGCTGCGCTGAGGTGTATGGTGATTACATAGATGTTTGCTATACGGTTATTCAATGTATGTGTTTTGTGCACTTTTTTCCTTTTATAACATAGAACTTCTTTTATATCTTACAGAAGAAGTACATGAAGAGAATATTAATATCACTTAAAGTAAAATATGAATTATAAATTGATAGGTATAAAGAACAGTTGGCATTGAAAGAACCAGTTAGAAATCTTGGAAATGATAATAGTCGTTGAAGTAAAAATTCATTGCATAGAATAACTTAACTGAATGAATTTATGAAGCATGTACTAAGGAATTTATGCAGAAAGAAATAGAAAAATTCCTGGAAAATGTGAAGAGATAGCCAGGAGGGGTATATGGAGTAGACGGAAGGGTTCTATCATTGTCCTTTACTCTGCTGAGGTACTTACCCTAGAAGATGGGTGGTATGTACATTCCAGTAAACACGGCTATTAGTGATGGTTCATGTTTGCATGAATTTAAAATATATCTTATAACCAAAAGTATTTAACAAATTGAGCAGTCCGTATCCTTTCTTTTCAGGTATGTAAAAGATGAAGGCATAAAAGGCAGTGTGTTTTAAATGAAATTATTGAATCACCCCCTGGCCCAAGAAAAACATGTTCTGTTTGTTCTCTTACGGGTTTCCTTAAAAGATGTTTTATTTGTGTGCCTAACATTGTAACTGTAGGCAGTACTAGTAACTTACTTTAAAAAGTGTTTGCTTTAAACTTCTTGCCAAGCATGAAGCATTTGTATATTAAAACTTTTTTTTTCAAGAATAATCTTTATTATCATTACAAATTATAATCAGATTCACAGAAAGTTTTCATATATACTGATTTGGAGAGAATCCATCTGTCCCTGTGAGTAATGTATATCTGTGTCAGGGAGAGTTGTATTTTTAATAGTAATGTGAGATTTTTGCCTTGTTCACCCCTAGCCAGTCCTCTTGTATTAACTGCTTTAAGAATGTAGTTCATACTGGCGTTACTTGAAAAGTATGTGTGTAAATTTTATCTGCGGTTATCACTAAGCTTGTGAAATGTGTCTAAATATAGTGGGAAGGATGTAAACAATTTTTAATTGAAACATAACTTTTTAAAAAATTTACAGTTGAACCCACTGTGAGCCTGATAAAAGGGCTAGATTCTTTAATTGATGGAGGAAATGAAACAGTAGCAGCCATTTGCACAGCAGCCACTGGAAAACCAGTTGCACGTATTTCCTGGGAAGGTGATCTTGGTGAGACGGAATTCTCTACAACTCATTTTCCGAATGAAACAGCAACAATTGTCAGCTATTATAAGCTGTTTCCAACCCGATTTGCTAGAGGAAGACGAATTACTTGTGTTGTGAAACATCCAGCCTTGGAAAAGGACGTCCGATATTCTTTCGTGTTAGATATACAATGTAAGTAGATGCTACTCTTTGCCTTTCAATTTAAGTCAAGCACTCTAGTTTTTCTTCCTTTGACATATTTCACCATCACACTCCTTTTTCCCCTTAACAAAGGATGATTTGTTCTGTCATGTGCTTATTTTATAGATGCCCCTGAAGTTTCAGTAACAGGGTATGATGGAAATTGGTTTGTAGGAAGAAAAGGTGTTAATCTCAAGTGTAATGCTGATGCAAATCCACCACCATTTAAATCTGTGTGGAGCAGGTAATATAATGTTATATTTCAAGAGAGAAATTTCAAGAAAGATTATTTTTCCATGTGTATTTAAAGTTTTTTTAATTGGTGTAATGCATGATTTTGATAATAAATGAAAAATTTAATTAAATGAAAGATACCTACATACATGTTCTACTGCCCCATCTCTCCCTCAAACTTCCAGTGCCATTCCTCAAAGGGTCCCTTAGCAGTTTTACCCTTTTTCTGGTACTAGTTACCATCATATGTCTGAAACTGCTACTTCTTGATTTACCAGTTTCTAACACTTCATTTCTTAAGTAGGTGAAGAATAAATTTTATATCTACCCCTTATCCACAAACACTGCATAGACATTCTTACTTTTTATTGTCTGAATGAAATTGTTACTGTTAAACTCTGTAATTACTGTTTGCTTCCCTAAGACAAACAGACACATTATTTATCAAGAGCTAAGTAGTATACCAGAATTCTCTTTTCTTTCATCTACAGCTATTGATCTTCCCTGTGGCTAATAATTGTCTTTTTACATGTGTAGTTTTAATGATCTCCATCTCTTTTTCTTTATCTCTAAATGTTCAAACTGTTATACTAAGATTTTCATTCTTATTGTAAATATTTGGGACCTAGTTCAATCTTGAGACTTTTATCTGTCAGCTTCAGATGATTTTATTTATTTTCTGTCATTTTCTCCTTTTTGGTTCATTCTTTTTAAATTACACTAATTGGTACAATTTAGAGACACATCATCACATCATTATGGAAAACTTGTACCTGTACATGATGTATCTTAGTTCCTTTTTTTCTCCCATTCCCCTCCTTTCCCTTCATCTCCTCCTCGCTTTATTTACAAAGCTTTGTTTCCATTTTATCCTTTTTTTCTCATCCTCCTCTTGTTCCCTTTTCCTTTTGAATAATTTCTTCCTGTTTCACAATGTCTATTATATATTTTGGTTTTTATTTATGCTTTCTCTTTCTCACACCAGAGAAGCAATGCAATATTCACATGTGTGTCCAGTTTATTTCACTTAAGAGTACCGTCTCAGGGTCCATCCATTTAGGTATAAATGGATGAAATTTGTCATCCGCCGCACCCCCCAGTTCCAGGGATCGAACTCACGACCTTGTGCTTGCTGGGCAGGCGCTGTGCCGTTCAGCTAAATCCCCAGCCCCCAATTTTGTCATTCTTTATGACTGAGTAGTGCTCCATTATATAAACAAGCACATCTTTTATAGCTTTTCATTGGGTGGTGGGCATTTGGGTTGTTTTCAAGATTTAGCTGTACAAACTGCTGCTATAAATATGACTGTGCATATATCGCTATGATATGGTGCTTTTAATTCTTTTGGGAAGATACCAAGAAGGGGAATAGCTGGGTCAAATGGGACCTGTAGTCCTAATGTTTTAAAGAATCTCCACGCTGATTTCCACAGTCGTACATTCTTACTGAAACCCCTGTTTCTTATATAATATCTTTTCACATTTTCCAAATGGTTTTATTGTTCTTCCTAGACTATATTCTTAAAATAATTTCCAGTTGACACAGTGATTTTTTAAAAAATGTTTTGTTACATTTGCAGTTTCTAAGAGCTACTTTCTCATCCCCTGATCATTTTAATAGCATCTTTTTCATATTTGATAGATGGTCTACCTTCTGGTTTCTTCACTGTAACGCCAGTTATTTTCTCCAGAGAGGTTTTTTTTTGCTTGGTCTCTCACCTTGTAGTTATTTATCCTCTTAGTTGTCCAGTCATTGCACAGTGAAAACTTTCTCTGTAACGAGGATTATTCATTAATAGTTTCCACTCAGAGTGATCCCGTAGATTTTCCTCTAAAAGTTCTAGATTTCATCAGTGAAGAATGGAAGTATTCTGGCTAATTCAGTTTACTTACTGAATTTTCCTCATTATTTTGAGAAGTAAACGCCTTGTATCTATGCGGAATTGGAGGGAGGCTGTTGATTTATTCTGTAACTTTCCGCTGCTCTCTTTATTTCTAGCCCTCTGCCGCCTGCTGGCATTCTGTAACAGTGGTTCAGACCCCAGGCTTTCCTGTCTTGGACCCTGCCGCCTCCTTTTGCATTCATATTCCTACTTCAGAGAGCTCCTCAGGCTGAAGGAGAGGTTTTGAACTTTGAAACCACCACCATTTTGGGTTGGATGATACTTTTTGCTCGCAGGCGCCCTGTAAATTGCACTATGTACAACATCCAGCCCTCCACCTCTACCAGTAGCACCAGCCACTCTCAGTTTCCAAAACTCACAATGTCTGCAGACACCCAGGTAGCGCAGGTAGCGCAGGATCACTCTTGGTTGAGAAATGCAGGCTTAAAACATGTGTTGTTACCTCCCTTTTCTGTCTTCTACAAGTGTATTGAATCATTGTGCTGCAGTCTATTTTCTTTAGCTCCATGGATTTTAAAGAACTTTCGAATTCCTTAACTCTTGTTTGTGGTGGGATTTTGTGGGAGTAAGGAAACAGTATATTTGGTTACGCTGTTACAGTTTTAAAGATAGATAGTTTTGAAATTAGGGTAGGCCTTTTTTCTTTTATCTTTTCTTAAAAGTGGGAGGCAGTCATTAATTAAGATGTCTGTTTGATAAAGTATTTCTAAAAGCTGTACAATTCTGGGTCTCATCCCAGTGCCTATACTTAGATGTCTTTTATTAGGAGTCATTTAACCCCTCTAGTGCTTAGTTTTGAGGTGGAAACATTGCTTCATGGAGGTTTTGTAAGGATGAATGTAAATGTCTATATTTTTCTAGAAACTTTGAGAATTATAAATGATTCATGTAACATAGATAAAAGAACACAGAAGATGCTTAGCATATGTCATCTGTGTCTTGGTTACTTTTTTCTCACTGCTGGGACAAAATACCTGACACCCAAAATTAAGGAGGGAAAGGTTTATTTTGCTAATAGTTCGTGGAAGTTCAATCCGTACTTGGCACATTATAAGGCAGAGTGGCACATGGCAGAGGGCTGCATCTCAGGGTGGCACCCCCAGCTAAGCGACTACCAGGACCCACACACCAGGGCGGAATGAGGGAGGAATGCCCCAAGCACTCTTTTCCTGTCCCTTACATATGTAAACTATCCACCCCAGGGTGGGTGTAGCTCTCACACCCACAATCATTTAACTCTAATAGTCTGCCCATGGGCTGCAGGAGGCTTTGGGGGGGACACACAGACAAAAACCATAACAGTCTGTTAAGTGGTTAGTGATATATGTAGCTTTTTCTTTCTCTGGTTTTATTGAATAAATAAGTATTATAAACCAGTTTTAATTTTCTCAGACAGTTTGGGGTCTGAGGTATGGTTGTAATTGATAAGGCATATACAATTCTGAAAGCTGATCTTGCAAAACTTTTTTGTCCAAAATCCTCTTAAGGTTGTGTGCTTTTGTTTTTGTTTACTAAAATTGTGTAATGACATTATCTTTACTCTTCAGTACTAAATTAAAGGTTTAGAGAATTCCTAATACAAAAAAAAAAAAAAAATACTGTATGTTCCAAAGCCTGAAACTTTTTGAGTGTTGACATATTTTAGGTTTCAAATTTTTGAATTAGAAATACTTAATGAGTAAAGTCTACATAAATATTCTAAAATCTGAGAATTTCCAAAATATGAAATACTTGCGGTTTCAAGCTTTTGGATAAAGGGTATTCAGTCTGCACTAAAACCCCAAAAGTTTTTAGTATTTTTCTCCGCACTGTTCTTGGGATTGCGAAATAATATCATTGCACCAGTTCTCCAGTATTAACTTGCTTCTTTCTACCTTTTTATTTATCCTTATTCCTTTTGTAATGAGTTTTTGATCTCAGTGTGTACTCTCATTAAAGGTAGGGTCTAAGTAACTCAGGCATTTTAAAAGCATTTTCGGGGCTGGGGATTTAGCTCAGCGGCAAAGCACCTGCCTGGCAAGTGCAAGGTCGTGAGTTCGGTTCCCAGTACCAGAGAAAAACCAAAAAAAAAAAAAGCATTTTCAAACTAAACACTTCTTTTTTTGGTAGTTTTATTTTTGATTTTATTTATCTTTTTTAGTACCCTCAGATTGGAAAAGTGATTTTTAACTTAGTTCCATTGAAATGAATGGCTTTAGAGTTTCTTCTCGTGGAGCTTACATGACTTATAATAATAATGGATATAGTAAATATGGACTGTTTCAGCCAAATTAGTATAGACATCACTTAGAGTTATTAATTCCAAATTATGCTTTAGTTTTTATTGTCACAGACACTCCTGCACAAATAAAATTTTTCTATTAGTTAAATCATTCTTTGTCTAAAGGTACTCTGTAAAAGGGAAGAAGTATACATCTTTGTTAGTATTAAATGATATGGTATAAATGCATTATAGAAGATGCCAAAACATTTTCATATATTTAAATGAGATGACCTTTTACTAAGGAAATTATAGATATATTATGTATGTATTCATAATTCATATAATTCATAATTAGAATTTCACTTACTTTGATACTGACTATGCCATCATATAATACATATTTCTAATTTCCACTTTTCTGAATATAATCTTTTAAAGTGATTTCCTTCTTCTTCCCTCCTATTCTGTTATATTGGCCTACCTGCACTTGTATGGATTAGTATTTGGGAAGGATGGATATATTTAATGGATTTTATCTTTATTAAAATAAAAATTTTATTACTTATATGCTGTCATTTTATGGTTAATTTTATCTAAAAGATAGTGGTAATTTTACTTACATCTCAAAGGTGTAATGTCTTTTGTAAGTTGCTGCAAATGAATATAGTTTGAAGGTACTTAAAATAGATCTGTGCTTTTTAAAATACAGGTTGGATGGGCAGTGGCCTGATGGTTTACTGGCTTCAGACAATACTCTTCATTTTGTCCATCCACTGACTTTCAATTATTCTGGTGTTTATATCTGTAAAGTGACAAATTCCCTTGGTCAAAGAAGTGATCAAAAGGTTATCTACATTTCTGGTAAGTTACTGTCTACTTGCAAAATAGTTATTTAAAATGTTTCTGTAGTGAGAATTATAAATGGTAATATGATCCTAGTGAGTAATGTATACTTGTAAAGGTACAGCTTGGTCGGTGTGTAATGTTTCAAATAATCTAAAAGAAATACAGTAAAGTAACCCTGTATGAAATACATGTATAAGGTATCATTTCTTTACTTAAAGGAATGTCAAAATGTTTATGCAACAGTTTTATACACATTTTAATACTTTTTCATGTAGTGTTCAGTTGAACAGTTGTTTGGCTTATACATGTATTCCATTCTAAATTCTCTAAACAAAGTATGCCTTTGGTGGCTACTCTGCATACAGTTGTTTTGATTTTTAAAAACAGAGCACTAACTTTGGTAACCTGCCTCGTTAAATAATACTGCTTGCCAGTCGTGGGCCTCGCTCATGTTGGTTTACTGAGAAATGATATAAGAATGCTACTGAAAACGTTTTCATGAAATAAACTTTAATATATTTCCTATTGCCAGTTCTTAAGCCACTAAGAACTCAGAGTTTTAACATTATTTGTTTCACTTGGATGTTTGGTTAATTGGCTGAATATAAATTGGAGCATTCATAAAATGTACATAGGGCTAAATTAAATTTTTTGTGTGGCTATAAATTGTCAGTAGAACACTGATTTAGGAAAAATATGTAAAATATTTTCAGTACTAACTGCAAGAATGTAGCATGTCTTTTTGCCTATCAGATAGAAAACTAAGAGAAAAAGGAAAAGAACCTTAGAAATTGCCATGTAGCAGTCTTTTTGCCTAACAGATACAAAACTAAGAGAAAAAGGAAAAGAACCTTGAGAAATGCGGGTTTATATGGTAAATGTGTAATGAGTAGTTAAGGTTTTTAATTTCTTCAAATCTAAAATGAAATAAACATTTTAGGAAAACTTCATGCTTGCTTAAAAGTTATATTCTTACTCTTTGTGTAATCATTCAGTAGAAAAACAGCTGCCACTGTACCGTATTCATAGAATGTTCACTATCATTTGTAGTTGTATGCTTGTTCATTTCCTTATTATATATCCTCAAAATTCAGCAACTTGTGTTTTCTCTCTGCACTGCTAGACTCAGATTTCTTTTATCTGATACTGGCAAGAAGCATGGCACTATCTACATTCCTAGCTGCTTCTGCTAGTAGCAGTGCTGTGGTGGGATCAGGGACGTTAAATAATAGTGGATCCATTTCTCTTTCTTCTGTAGAGGATAAGCCGTACAAAATGAATCTTTAAAGTGTAATTGTATAAACAATGTTTACTCTTTGTTCCTGTATTATACTGTTTGGTTTGGAATATTACTTTTAAACCATAGTGCAATATGTTATAGTTATGTAATCTGTAAGGCTCAATTGACAACGCTCAATTTGAGCACTCTTACATACAGTGGTTCCACTAGGGATATAGGAAATTTATCTCTTTTGACGTTCTGGGTCCACTTTCTAGTACTTCCAACTGCCTATCAATGACCATTAAACCACTTGTAGAAGTTGAGGAGACATTACACCTTAACATTTCTGAAACTGAGATTCTCCCCTTTTCCTGTCCCAGGACACCAAACTTCTTTCTCTGCCATTCTTTCTCCTGTCTGTTATATGTAGTTCTATCGTTACATTTGTTCAGAGTACGATCGTATCCTTGATTTCAGTTCTTTTTCAGGCCATACCCAATCTATTCGCAGGTCAGTGTTGGCTCTCCCATTATGTTATGTAGAATTTTACCAATTCTTCATTTCTTCTGCTAGCTTAAACCATCAGCAAGTGTTACTTCACTACATTCTAGCCATTTAATCTCCCACTTTGAATCTGTCACCCTTCAGTGTGTTATCAGATGCCCAGCCAGACTGATCCTTCTAAAGGGCATGTCACATCATGTCACTCTTCTCAGAACTTTCCACGGATTTTCCATTTTACCTACTGTGGAAACTAATATTCACAGTGCCTCACGGCTCTGTACATGTTGTAGTTCTGGTACCTTCCTGACCTCCTTTCTTCTTATACAGTTCTTGCTCATTGACACTGCCGCACCGGCTTTCTTGTTCTTTGAACACAACAGGTACTTTTCTGTGTCTGTCTTTGCATTCGCTTTTTCCACTTTTCCACTCTTTGGAGTACTCTTTTACAAGGTATCCTTGACACTTCCCTTGACAACCTTTAGGTATTTACTAAAGTACCACCTTTTTCAATGAAATCTTTCTTCCCTTGTGACTGTATTTTAAATTGAAAATGCTGTCTTATCACCCTGTTACAACATTCTGTCCTCTTCTGCCTTGCTTTTCTAGTTTTGCCAAGTGACATACTACATGTTTTTTTTACATGCTTGTCTCTTTTTACCTCCAGTAGAACTTGGGTCCTTAGTCAGCAAGGTTTTTGTCTTACTTTCATAATTGTCATGTTTCTGTCATCTACGGTAGTGTTTTAGATAGATGTTCAACATACTTTCATTGCATGCCTGAATGAATTTGACAAGATCAGGAAAGAATTAAAAATCCAGAGTTCTTTTTTACCTAACTTATGTTTTTTGACTACAGAATTGATGATTTTGCATATTTTTTAAATCAACATCCACTAAGCCTTAGAAGAAGGGAAATAAAGTTTTGAGTAAATATTTAAAAAATCACAATTACCTCTAAATACTTTAGAATAGCATAGCATTGTGAGATGAGGCTTTTTTTTCTTTTAATGATAATTAGACTTTTCCTTTCTACTCAGAATATTATAGTATACTCTCTTAGGTTTAGTTAATTGCACCGAGAGCTTGGAGTATCCTGAGTACCTTAGATATAATTCTGCTTTTCCATGATAACTGTCTAGTAAACCTAGTAGATTCTCATGAGACCAGGAGGACATGTACACAGTGAAAATTACACCATTCATTTCATTTTTCCATTGTAAATTAAATGTACTCTTTGTACCCTAAGAAAAAATTTACCTCATTATTAAAGTTGACATTTTAACATTCTAGAAGTGATTTTTTAAAATATATGTAAAAGCAACTGTAAGATGGTTTTAAATTTTATTACACATTTGTTCACATTGGCAGATACAAAAATTTTGAGTCTGTTGCTTCATGGTTGTAATACTCTGCTTCACTTATTAGATTGTACTTTCAGAAATTATGGTGGGTATTTGTCCATTATTAAATGACTGCAGGAAATGGCGTTTTTCTGTGTGCTTTTAGTATTTTTTTCCTCATATATGTCACTTTTCTTTAAAATAGAAAATATTTTCTATTTTAAGGAAATATTTACATATCAGATAATTACCCTTATGCCTAAAATCCATCTTGTGCAAATGTTGAATTGCAAATCATGTTTCTGTGGGAATCTAGTTGTAGCTTCAAAACCTAGCAACCCACACTTAGCAATTTTTAAACTTTAACATGAATTATTTTGTTTATTCAGATAACCCATATAAAGTCTAAAAGAAATATGCCATTAATTTTTAACACAGTTATCATAGGTTAAATATATACCTTACAACTACCAGGACAGTACTGGACCATTTGTTTTCTTGTTTAGCAAAAATCATTGGAAAGTTCTTCACTTGGAGAGGAATACTAGAGGTATACTAAAATTCATTATGGGTGTTATATTTTCATTTATCGTACATTCAACAAAGAACGTTGAAAAACATCTGACTGAAAAAATGATGTTGGGAAGCGTTTTAAATCATAGTAAACAATTAGCTATTAATGAACAGAAAATTTTCTCCTTATATGACATAACTTTCGTTATAAATTTAAAGACAAAAGCATGGTCGTTGCTTAAAAAACAATATAATAAAGTATTAACCCGGGGATATAGCTCAGTGGTTCAGCACTTGCCTGGCAAATTCAAGGTCCACAGTTGGTTTCCTGGCACACCCCCAACCCCCAAAATCACTATGGAATGATGTTAATGAGAAGGTTGTCTTTTAACACTATTAGAGGATGGTGGGGTCAGCTTTCAGGGATCACAATAAACTAAATCCAAAATTTTAAAGTTTTTCTCCTTTTTTTCTGAAAGCTGAATTTTGTTAAATCTGAATGAAATGAATAGTATTTTACAAGGAGAATTTTTTTAAATGTCTTTTTTCTTAGGATACATGGTAAAAATGTTGAGTTATAGATCTTACACCTGGAGAGAACTCAGGTGTAAGTTATATTAAAACCTTAAAAATCATATATGTACTAAAATATGTAAATTATACTTAATTGTTTAGGTTATTTGTACTTTTACTTAAGTGTGCTCATGCCAGCTTCTTATAATACTTTTTTCTTGGTAATCATTGTAAAGATGTATGGTTCTTAAAACTACCTCAAAAATAAGTGAACTGTCTTACTAGTGATTTAAATTTTAATCTATTCAGTATTCTGATTCTGTGAAGTTAGATTATTTAAAAGGTTTGCTACTTTTATAAAAATAATCCCTCAGTTTCAGTTTTTTTAAATTGTTCAGCTAATGAATATGTTCTTGTGAATTAAAGCTCTTCCTTGATTCACTTACATATATTATGATAACTAATACTTCAAAGTACTTGACAAGATTACCTATTAGTGTTTAAACTCAAGAAATTAGTTACACTGTTCTTGTTAAGTTGTATACTTGTACTTGCTAAATTTTTACCACATTCTGTATATACGGCATTCCGTGATGAAACCTGTTTCAGTAAGTATTTTTCTTTAGCTTATAATATTAGAATAACTTACCCCATGTAGATTTAGTGTTTTTCTAACAATCACTTTTTTAAACCTTGGTCAGTACCACCCATTTAAACTTAATTATAGGAGATTGCCATTCGGTTCATTTATTTTTATCTATGGAAAGAAAAAAAGGTTTTTAAACTCATCTTTTCTTCAAATTCTAGTATTTTTATGTAACATGATCTACAAATACTACTTAATTGATAATTAACCAATCTTTAATTTTACTACATATGTTTAGTTGCTTTTTAATAATGACTATGCTGTAATCTAATGTCAAT